GCCAGCCAGGAAAAAGTAAGAAGGTCTTGAGGTGGGAAGTGGGGCTAGGAGCAGTCTGCCTCCCTGTCTATCAAAGGAACCTGAACAAGATGGTCTGTAAAGGTTGTTATGGGGTTGGGATTTGTTAACCTCAGCATTTGGAATTTGGTGAGTTACCTTAACACTCACCAAGTGTGTATGGCTGGCTTTTCTTTTCTGACAGGCTCGAAGGTTTCCCCTTTTTAATCTGATCCTCACACAATTGACCAGAGCCCTGTGGTGTGAGCATTATTGGGAAGCCCTTTCCATCCCTTCTCTGCCAGCCTCACTTCTGTCTCCACTTCCAAGGGACAGATGGGTGTACAGCAGGAGGCAAGTGGGCTTTGATGCCGACAGCATCCCAGGAGAGGGAATTAGCTGAGAGTTCATAGCCTCTCTCTGCCTTCTAGATCTTGAGTTAAAAGTCCTCAGTGTCACAGCCCCAAGGGGCAGGGATTGAGGGGTGTCAAGAGAGAGGCAGAAGGAGTCACTTTTCAGCCTGCAGCTGCCCACATAAGGAGGAAAACCTGGAGTGCTGAGAGCTCTGGGTCAGGAAGTCATCGGGGCTGAAGCCGAAGATCAGGTCACATCTGCCCCACTGGCTTACTTACCATTCAGAGAAGTATCTGAAGATACCTGGAGCTGATGTCTAAAATTCAGGTAATTTTACAGTGAAATTGAGGTTTCTGCCCTCTCTTGAATAGTTAGAAAATCTGACCACACTGATAGCTTATTCCGTCGATATAACATCCAGCCAGATTTACATAGCAGCTGTCCCCATTGTAATTTTATTTTATTAACAAGCAAATGCATTCATGTGACTGCAAAAATATACACAGAGACAAATAATTCATTTTCCCTCCTATCCTTATCTCCAATTCCCACTGGCCTCTTAAAGCAATCTTTATTATGCAATTCCAAAGTTCCTTTTTTTGAAACGAAACACAATTTTATTTCAGTTTTATTTATTTATTTTGTGTGCACATGGAGGGGTGCATGTGTCATGGCTCATGTGGAGGTCAGGAGTCGTTTCCCTCCTTCCACCATGTGGATTCTGGGAACTGAACTCGGTTCCTTCGGGCTTGTTGTTACCTCCTGAGTCATCACACCAGCCCCAGGGTTTCTTTATGCTTGTATAAACTATAAAAGCAAAGGTTGTCATTTCACATTTTCACACAGATTCACCTCTCTTCTGTTCTTGTTTTTCCTCCATGAGGACTTCTCCATAGTAAGACAGACCATTCTGTGCTCCAGGCCATTTCATTGTCACAAGTCCCATGGCTTATTTAGCCAGACTCATGATCAGTATTTGGGCCATGCCCAATACTTGCAACTACAAACAATGTAGTATCAATTATCTCATGCATAGTCTGCACGTGTGCAAATATTTAAGTAGGAACTAAAGGAAAACCAACAGGAATTGCCCAAGCAGAGGGTGCAGTAGATGGGCTGGAGCCCTCATTCAGTAGCATCCTGAGGCCAAGTAACAAAAGGTGACAAAGATGATTCCTAAGAGTGATTCCCCACATAGCTTAGAGACCATCATGTCTCCAGGAGCTAGGCCAAGGCTCCAGATTTACCTTTGCCACTGGCTAACTTAGGTTGTCTCTCCAGGCCCCTTAGTCTCCATCTGTGAAGTGAGAGAGAGAGGCTTAGGAAGACCGAGGAGATCTCAAAGGGCCTCTGCAGCTCTGACCAACTGTGTGTGGTCCACCTCCCTCCACAACAGCCAGATTCTGCCCTTGATTGTACCTGGCTCAACCCCACTATAGAATCTTTGTCCAAGTTGTCTCCAGCCCCACACAGATACCTCTGAAACATAGTCCCCTTGTCCCTTGGCGCCACTCCTGATACCTGAGCTCAAGTGCCATCTGAACACATCACTATAAATCTCCAGGTCAGATAGAGGCCCCTCTACAGTATCCTTTATGGGCAGGTTACCCATGCCTGGTCCATGCTTCAGGTCTTCCATCAAGTCCTTCCTTTGTGTCATTTCACCGTGTCTACATAGGGCTCCTGAATGCCCATGTTGTTACTTCCTAAAAATGACCTTGAGGCAGCATTTCCCGGTAGCTCAATTTCTACTCCCAAAGTAGCTAGTTTGTAGATAACAACTAGCAACATTGTAAACATCCTAGAGGCGCAAATACTACACTAAGAAGTTCAGAAGCCATCGCCTCTGTCTGAGTAAGTCACCTTTATAAACTGGGGACAAAAAGGCCACTTGTGTCACCAAGTTCATCACTTACTTACAAGTTCATTAACTTGTCAGATGTTCTGGAGGGTTTTATAGTTATTCTTTTCTTTCTTTGTTTGATACAGGGTCTCATTATATAGCTCGGGCTGGTCTGGTATTCACTATGAAGCCCAGACTAGGCTTTGATTCACAATTCTCTTGTCTTAGCCCCTACCCCTTACCCCAATTGCAGGAATTACAGGTGCTTGTCACAATGCCTGGGTTTCATTGGATGGTTATTTATTTTTCCTTTCTTTTAAAATTTTATTATACAGAGTACTGAAGGCTATCTTCATATTTTCACCAGATACCTACTGAGTACCAGGCCCAGTACTGGACACTGGAAGTCCAGTACTCAGAAGTCTCAGTTTGAAGAAAAATGGGTGAATTTCCCAAAGCCTCTGGAAGATCCCAGACAACTCTAAACAGACAAACATGAAAAGATAAACTGCTGGTGTGTCAGTGTGGAAAAGAAAAAGACCAGGGTGCTGTGGCATTCATAACCAAAGTACCGGGGAGACCTCTCTGAGGGACAGAGAGCAGGCCACCACTGGATGTTGAATGGGGCTTCTATGGGAAGCATTATACCTATTAAAATTTCCCATTAATTATCCTCACCACAGTCCTAGCAGGAAAACATATGATATCCTCTATTTTGTTATTCTATGAAGCAAAGAAAAACTGAAAGCCATGGAATCCTGAGGAGACTGTGGGTCTTGACCCCAGATTTTCTGGCATCAGAGTATCAAAGCCTAAACCTGACTTCTGCTGCTGGTTTGATTAAGCCAGTTATGGGCTATATGGAGGCTTCCATTTAGTTGGGCCCAAAGGTGGGATCCTATCTTTGCCAGTCCAAGCACCTGTGACGGTAGTGATACAGACCACTAAGAACTGACAAGAGGGTGGCTGGAGGCAGACTCACTCTTCTGACTCCACTTAAGGTTCTGTGTATTCAACTGCTTTCTAGGTCTGGGGTTGTAGGAGACAAACAGGCAGAGATGGGCCTTCCTAATTCAGACCTCCCAGCCTCCTGTCAGTCTAAATGTGGGCTGCTGGCTTGGAATCCAGCCTTGAAAACTCCCTTAGCCCCTAACACTTCCCCTCTGCTTTTAGCTTTAGGCAACAGCTGGTACCCCAACCTCCCAAGCATCACTGAGACCAAAACAGTCCCTGGACACGAAAGGGAAGCCAGGCTGCAGGGCAGCAGATGGCTGCTCCACCCAGCCCAGGGCAGCTGTCTCCTCTCTCTTTCCTGTCACTCTGAAGCAGGGTGGTCTTTCCACCTCACTTCCTCCCCACCTCCCCCTTCTTCATGCCCTTGAGCTTTTCAAAGCCACATATGAATTTGTTTCTAGCACTTACTATGTAATTCTAAGCCACCGAATGCAATTCTTTGACTGTTTCCTCATCTATAAAATTGGTGGATGAATATATAAACCATGTAAACTGTGAGACTAAAATGATTAGTAATTTCACATTGCTTAGAAACAGTTCTAGTGTTTCATAAACAATGTCCTAGGACATCTGACCCAGGTCAACGTGGGTGGTGGCATGAGAGGACCCAGGCACATGAGGGACCCCTACCTCCTTTCATAGACTTTGCTCATGTCTCTCTGATCTCTCCAGTTCCAGGCTGCTGCTTTCTGGTCCTTGCTCCACTTTGGCTGTCAACTCTTCTTGCTAAGTCCTGACCTAGCCACATAACTCCTCAGCTGACATTCTGGCCCTTCAGGGTCCTATCCATCAGTAATCACCAGTTCTATCTTTCTGCACCCCACACCCTCACCAGGACATTCTAGAAAATGTGGCCTCCAGTGGTGGTGGGGGTAGCAGTTTGCACTTGCTCTTTCCTCCCTCCCCTCTGCCTTCCCTAACCGGGCTAGTGGCCAGATGAACGCGGCTCCTGAAAGAAGGAAGAGTGAGCAAGAGACCGCAACTCAGAACTGCAGTTTTTCCGCTTGGAAAAAAAAAAAAGACAATGAAAAGAGAGACCTCTCAAGATCAAAGGAGGGGATGGAACAATAAGTGAACACGGGGGAACTAAGAAGTGGCATTGGAAGGGAGTGATGCTAAAGGGT